ATGAGTCTGACGCGAAACGATGGGGCCCTGTGAAGCTGCTGCCTCTGCGGGTGCRGCCGCCGAGCCCCAAGAAGCCCCAAGGGAGCCGGTGGCCAGCAAGCCCCTCGCGCTGCTCCACCAGCCCGCACTGCCTTTTCCCAACACCTTCAGCCTAGCAGAGCAGCCCCAGCTGCTGCTCCCAAGAGCAGACATTAGCTGCCCTGCTGTCCTGATCTCATAGAGAACCTTCTTTTCATCTTTGCTGTCCAATTCCTCTCTGTGATTTTCAGAAGGCAAGTAGTGCAGATGCCACATCTTAATATTAGCTTGAATTAGGTTGTGTTTTCTTGCAAATCATTCCTAGAGGCTGCATTCAACTGCCTCCTCCATTAACACCCACAGCTATTCTCGAGGCCGCAGCCAGGAAGGCAGGATTTAAGCACAACTAATTGAAAGAAGCTGCTCCAGAGCATTAAAGACTCCCTCTCTCAATCCGTWTATTTGGAAAACCTTTATATAAAGGGAAAGGCTTCATTTTTCAGACATGCCTGCAACAAAAGGTCTTTTAAAAGCAGCCATCACGCMACACGTTCCAGCAGCCAGGGCTAAAACGGGGTCCGGAGGATCCCTGTGGAGCCACACGCAAGCACTGCCCCATCACAGGCGCCCGTGAAGCAAAAGGCACAACTTGGCCAGCAACCCTCCCCTCGCACTCCCGCTGGTTCTCTCTCCTCTTCACAGCCTCCAGCAGGAAGGATTTAGCCACCAAACCTTTGTTTCAAGGCAGACAATGGCAGATTTAAATCTCACCTGGGCTGAATCAGTCCCGTTCATGGAACAGTTAACTCTTTTCAGGTCAGAAAGAGGCAAACTCAGTAATTCTGGATAGCTGTGGGGTCTCTAACATTGACACGGGGCTGTCTGAAGCCTGAGCACAGGTTTGAGCCTCTCCCCTTCAGACAGGGGGGCATTTCSAGCCAGGCATTAGTAGGGCGACACTTTCCCCTTTTTTAATTTTTATAGGACGTGAGTATAAGCTGTGTGTGTGTCACCCAACCATAACGACACTTTGCACACTTGGCATTGCACCAGCAGAAGAAATCAGGCAGATCCCCAAATACCTGCATTTTCCTCGTTTTTCCGGGTGCAGCTTCACCCCGACCRCCCGTGGTGCAGGAAGGACCTTTCACTCTTCCCTGGGGAAGAGCCAGCAGGTCGAGTCAGAGCTTTCTCAGTGTGGGCTGCACCCGGGAGCACCTGGAAGCCAGAGCAGCCTCCTTGGGGCTGCACACGAAGGGCTGCGGAGGACGGAACACGGGGCTGCTGGCGGGGGTGCCAGGATCTGGATACCCATCTGGGACACTACACGTGCTTGAGGAACAGGCTCCAAGGAAGCGCAGCTCCCATCGAGACCAACAGGCCTGCTCATCAATGGGGAACATAAGCTTTTTTGCCTTCAGAAGGCGACACGGAGGCTGGCTTCACCCTTGCCAACCAGCCCATCAACTTGGAGGCCAAGAGCACTCTGCTCTCGCTCCACATTGACAGCGCCAGCAAAGGCGGAAGAATTTTACCAAAATATCCAAAGACAAGAGCTTACAAACTGCGGCTGCCTGTGGGTTCAGGTCCCCTTTGGGCATCCACTAGTCTGGCTAACCATCCGCTTCCATCGGCCAGGGCCCAGGAGGTCCCTCCCCATCCCTGCCTGCAGTGATCCGAGATCCCCAGATAAGGAGGCTGCATCATCTCTCTAGGAACAAGGATCCGCAAGCCCTCAAAGAGCCGCAGATCGCTACAAACGCAGCAGCCCATCTGCCTCGCAGGAGYGGTTGCCATGAGCACATTACTAGTTCTGCGCCACTTCTATTTTTAAAAGATACTTGGGAAGCACTCGAATGCACTGGCGATTGCACTATTTAGGTACCTGGATGGATACTATTCAAGGGCTGTATCGATACTTCTCCGTGGGAAAACACAGCACCCGTGCAGGAAAACCTACCCCTGGCGCGGGTGCATTTGCAAACARCAACTCCTGGAACCCAACAGGGGAGCACTGAACTGACAGACAAGATGTTTTTCACGCAGAGCAACAGATACTGAAACTGGTAAGATGAATCGTATCCTCAGAGGACCCCTCGGCGCTGCGCGAGGGTGAAGACTTCACAAAGAGGAAATTCACGGTGTGTAAATTGCAGCTGCAGTCACCAAAATGCCCAGGGTCTAACGCAAGGCTTAAACACAGCATGTGTGCGTAGGGAAAGAGGGGGGGAAGAAACAGACAAATACCTGCCTGGGAGAAAACGAAAAGGACCCAGAGGAGATCCTCAAGCCAGCTGAGCGTGCTGACAAGCCCTGGAGCTTTTCCAGGATGCTCTAAATTCCGGGGAGCGTTGAGCCTTACTGCATTTCAGGCAGGTTCCCTTCTCTGGCGGGCGCAGGGCCACTCGCCCCATCRCTGTCGGGATGGGGTCCCCTTCCCTGCCCGGAATCCACGGGCCCCTCCAGCTGTGCGGGGTGGAAAGGTGGGTCACAGCCCGGGATGGAGCGGCCTTAGAGCAAGGATGGGCAGCAAGCAGAGCTTCCAGCTTCATGCAGCCCCATTTGGCAACTGGTCGGATACATCATCACCTCCCTGCCCTCCGCAGCAGGGCAGGAGCCTCCCCAGCTACAGTCATCATGAAAAATCTGTCTGGGAAGAGCGAGCTCTTCAGAGACACCCCTCTCTTCTGCAACACGGAATTTACTTAATTAGGGGGAAAAAAAAAATCACCTACTTTAGCTTGTCCTAAATTGGGAAGTTTTCAAAGCTACTTCCCCCTCCCCTCATTTACAGGCTCAGAGTCACAGGAGGCACCTAATGCAGATGAAGTCATGGAGAGAAGAGCTGCTGCTCTGCTCGACCAGATCACTTTGGATGCCCACGGATGCAAAAGGAGGCTTGAACGCACTGCAGAGCAACCAGCCAAACCTTGCTGCTCGCTGCAGGAGGGCTCCCCAGACCTTACAGCTCCAAAGGCCCTCAAAGACTTCTCAGAGCGTTTGATTTCAGAGAAACGATCACAGATCACCACTCACACACATCTAATACAACGTGGCCACAGCATCTACTTCCCTTCTGCCTTTCCCCAAATCCTCAGAATTTCAGAAAGGTCATGGAAAGATGTTCCAGGAGTACCGAGCAGAGCCAAGACAGSATCCGGTGGCCTCGCCACAGGGCAACTCTTCTCTTTATTGGCCCTGGAAATTCACCCTTCTTGCAGTTGCTCTAACTGCAGTGGGGGAAAACATTTGGAAAAGGTCAAGTGACTCAACGGCAGTGAGCCCTGCACCTTTCCGAGCAGGAACAGCTTTCCATGTGCCTCCAGTTACGCTGCAGGCAGGTCRGGGGAAAGGCCGCACACCGAAGGGCCTTCTGCACGGGGAACCCTCAGCAGGCCAGTCGGGGGGAACGTGGTTTAAACGACACCGGATTTTGCTGCGGGGCCACACGTGCAACCTGCAGCACACCGAGAGAGCGGCTGAACCTCGGCCAGCTCGGCCAGCAACGCCCCGCAGGGCTGGCCGGGCGCGCGAGCCCGGCGCTGCCGCACGCGGCCCCGTGCCCAGCTGGGGACGCGGCGCTGCCAAGAACCAGGTCCCTGCGACCCTCTCCAGGGCAGCTCATTTCCTTACGACTCCAGGGAGCAGAGGGGTTAATTTCTGCCCAAGTTCCCATGCTGTTTGAATTCCTTAGATAAGCTGCTTCCACCAAAGCCAAGGATCTAGCCTCAGGGGAGAAAACTGTAAGGAAAAGCTCCTTTGATAGATTTTCTTCAAAAGATTAATTTTAGAGACCATTTTCAGAGGTATGCCATGCCTGTAGTTTCCATAAGCTACAGATGATGTTTCACTCTGCACCTGGAATTAAAACCAAGCTTAGAGCGATTCTCTGTGGCTTCTGTTTGCATGACAGAAGTGTTTTACACTTGCTCAGTGAAATCACCCCTTCTGCATTGAGAAAGCTCCTCCATCCTTAGTGTACAGCATCATAAACGGAAAAACCAGACCAAACCCAGATTTAATCCTCAGATAAAGAAATCACCAACTGGCACAAACAAATACTGTACCTTTAAAAATGAGTAGTCACTTAGGAAAGCAAAAAAACAAGTTCTGAGAGGCACTAAAGGCTCCTTTCACATCTYGAGGCAGAAAGCAAGTCCAGGCTGTTATGGAATTTGTATTTGCATAGTGCTCRGTGATAATCTATGTGCATAGTTGGAAACAAAGCAAGTTTTTATTAGCAATTAGTAGCAAGAGGGGGGGCAGATTTGTCTGAAGGAGTTAGAAAGAAAGCAAACACAGGCAGGACAACCTTTAAAAGGCTGCAAGGCGGCAAAATGGTCCTCTGTGACAGGKCTCTTTAAAAAATAATGCAGCTATAAACTGGGAAACTCAATGACATTTGTTCCAGAAGATAAACTGTGTCTTTAATACTGACAACTTTGACTCCAGGCAGCAGTTTTCCCTTGCACAGCAATTTGCAATGCAAAGCAGGCTACTTCCACTCTCACCAAGAGCAAAAGAGGGCAAAGTTGGGAAGGGTCCATCTGCTTAGCCTAGATGGCACCTTCCTGCAGGGCTGAGCTTCAAGTCAGGCATGAAAGCAGCAGASCACAGGTCTAAAACAGCGTGTGAAAATTGGGGTTAGGGAGGCAAAAAGAGAGCAAGAGAGAGGTGGAAAAAAAAAAGAAAGAAAGAAAGAAAAAGTTTTCATCCACAAACCCTAACCTCTCTCACGGGGTGCAATCCCCCCCTTCCTTCAAGCCTTTGAAAAATGTCAATCCAGCTCAGGCTGTAAGGAGGCTCAGAGCTCTCCAGCTACATTCTTGCCCCTCTCTGGAGAACGATGTGGCACGTGGGGCCCTAAAACACAGCTATTAAAATCACATCAAGGGGCAGGCAAGTGGTAGCCATATGCCGAACCACTGGAGTGCAGAAACAAAAGCAGGCAAAGAACAGGAGGAAGCAAGMGAGCTCCTTACCTGCTGGATAAGCTGGCAAAGTCTCCTCCATCTAGCAGCCTGATTTTGCAGAACAGCACCCCGTTCACAAAGGGGACGGCAGTCAGCTCTTCCAGAGTGAAGCTTGTCTGAAATTTGAACTTCTTCTTCTTCATCAGGAAAGCCATGGGCAGATTCAGCGTGGAAAGGCCAGGAATTCCAAGCAAGATTAGGGAGGAGCAGCTCGACACACACGGACAAACGCGGGAACGGCGGCGGCCGCTCCGGGAGCGCGAGCAGGGAGTCAATCCCAGTTCAGTTACAGTGAGGGCCCTGCTTCAAACGCACAATCCTCTTCTCTTTGGTGCTTGGCTCTGGCTGCGGGGTCATTGCCACGGCAGGCTTCAGGCGGGGAGGAAGAGCACAGAAAATATCCCTGCAACATCTCCAAGGGAAAAAGACGGGAGAAAAATAAGTCCCAGCTCCAGACCAGCAGGAGCTGTCCCGCTCAGAGGCTGCAGGGCTCTGTGTCCATCAGATCTCCTCCGGAAGGCGTCTCTCATGGGAAGGCATCTTGCATCCCTGCGAAGAAGCCCCGGCTCGCTCACGGGGCAGCCAGCTCCTACCTCCTCTTCTTGTGCAACCACTTCATGCAGGTCTCTGGGTCAGCCTTGGGGAGGGAAATGAGTAAATTAGTCCCAGCCGCTCTCAGGCTCCTCCTCCTCTAAAACCTGTTTGGATGGATAACATCGAGCCCAGGCTCACAGCTGCCCGAAGAGGAATGGCCCCAATTAGCCTGGCCCCAACACCCTCTTCTTCCTCCTCGCCTAGGGGAGCTTTCCTGCTGGAGCCCCCCTCGCAGGGTCTGTCTTTACCAGCAGTTAATAAGAAATTTTCTTTTAAATATATTTTCACCCACCATCTTCAGAAGCAATTTACAGAGCAAGCTCAGTCTAACACACAGCCTAACAACAGCAAGCCTTGAGAAACGCACAAAATTGTTTGTTTTCTGTTTTCACAAGAGCCCCGAGCCGACCAGCCAGCCCAGCCAGGGCCCCCGGTCGCCGCGGCCGCTGCTCTGCGACCCACATTTCCACGGCACCTAAGCCCGGAGGCCCAAAGCTGATTAGTGTCTCCGGAGGACGAGGCTATAAACAACCCTCACATGGACCAGAACCGGTGCCTGGGAGTTAACCCCAGCCAAGCTCCTGCTCCCTCATGGAGGGTTTTTTTGTTTTGATTTGCTGATGAACACCCGAGCAGGCAGAGCCGCTGCAACGGGAGCCCTGCGTGCCCGTGCGCTGAGCTGCTGCTCGGCCTCAGCCCCTTCCAGCCCCCCGCGCCGAGACCCGCGGGGACCTCGGCGGCCTCCGGAGTCCCG